AAAGTCCGTTGGTACTAATAAATTTTTAAAACAAGTAATGCACATAATGTTGAATTCAGAGGATTTTCTGGGAGATGGAGTAAGGTGCTAATGCAGTTTTCCTGGAGGACTCTCCATATCACCTATTGCATGGCTTTTTTTTTTTTTTTAATCCAGTTCAACCAACTCTCTCTTTAGGATGTGCCACAGAATCTTCTCTGGCTAGCAAATAATGTACCTGTCAACAGGGAATCTGTCATGGACAGTTTGGCTCTAGCTTTTTAAAAGTTGAAATTTACTGTCTTGCTCAGTTGAACACATTCAGTATCAGATTGTTGATTTCATTTATTTATTTATTATTTCAGTTTTCTAGCTGTGCTAAATAGCATGTCTTAGTCATGCATTCTCACTTCTTACTGAAAAATAAGTTTAAATACAAAAGGATTTTTTTCTTGTTAACAATAAAAGGAAGGTATGATACTTCCCTCCACGGAAAGTGCAGTAGTCTCCTAAGTTGTTGGTTTGATATAAATAAACTTCTAGTGGGATTATGATGACAAAACAAAGTCCTAAATACTTTGTTTGTGAGCACATAGTACTTAAACAATTTGAAAAACAACTATTCTGCATTGTAATCTGTTCTCTATAGAATGTGGCCTCCTTTTGCTCTGATGCAGAAAGTAAAGTGATGAATTTGCTACAAAGAAATCTCTCACTTCCACCCAGTTTAACTAAAAGATGTGGCTTGGAATGCCTCTCTCCTTCCTGCAGCTCAAGTCTTCATGCAGAGGATAAAAGTTTGGTAAGCTTCTGGTAATTAATATTGTGTTTATACTGACAGTACATACAGTAAGGATATAAGCATGTTTTATACTGATGGCTGTGGTGAATGGTCTCACTTCTCAGTCCACTCCATAGGTTCTCTTCAGGGCAATGCAAGCTGATTAGAAGCTTTCTCTGTGTGTGGCTTCAGGATTATTCCCCAGGAGGAACTCTGAGACTATTCTTCCTCCAAGCAGTACATGAAACCCTCCCCTTGTGGCCTGTGTTTTCATAGCATACTTTAAATATCCTAAATTTTATACGAGTAAAATGAATCATCCTTTCCCTATAGATGATTTATTGCTTCCTTGGTCCCACTGTGAAGATTATCTGACATGGATGTCACTGGAAGGAAAAATCTTGATCTGTAAATTTTTCTTACACGGCATTCTGCAGTTCCTACCCTTGCTTAGAGAATGTACCTCCTGGTCTTTTTTTCCTAGATATTGTTCACCATTTCCAGGATTTAAAAGGGAAGAGGTATCACCTAGTAAATGTTGACATTTTATAGCAGCCGTGACAAAAATTGAGTTAAATAGTACTGAACTTTCTTGTGAAGGCTGCTGGTGGCAAGTTGTTCCTGATGTGGAGTACTGAGCGCAGTCAGAACAAGAATTTTTTCCTGCCACTAGTTGTGAGGGAGGTGGAAACACCCTGGTGTGAGATCAATTCCTGGGGACTAAATTTAAGCTTCCATTTCAGAGAGAGTGCTAATGTTTAATTCTGAAGGTTTAGTTTATATCCGTTTATTACATATATTAACCAAGTTAAAACAAATGAGACATTAAGGGTATTCTCAAGTTAAGCATGTGTTTGAATGATTTGCTGTGTAACATCCATTTTGTGTGTATTGTTATCTTCAAGTTTTTCGGTCTATATTCTGTCCCTTTTTTCTTCAAATTTTTTCCTCGTTTTTCCCTATTTAACAACCTGTTGAGGATATATCCAATGCAGTAGAAGACTTAACTCCTTTTTAGGAGTGCTTTGATTTCTTACCATCTGGCACAGAAAAATTCCCATACATTTAGCTTAGATCTCAGAAACAGAATGTAAATGTGCTGTCTTAATGTACATGTAAACAGTGATTTATCAAGCATCAATACTTGAAAGAATAATATTAGTCACCATCAGAAGATATCAAACTAAAGTTAAATTGGACATGAATGATAACATAGCATTTTTGTATCTGGTTTTTTTTCCCCCGTTTTGTGGAAGTAGTGGAGGAAACTAATGAAATAGTACGTTCTATTCAACATAAAACTTATCTCTTTTTAACTAGATCACTTCTAAAATTGAAATAAAGCATCCAAGCCCTTTGTCAACTAGCACACCGAATATGAAACTTGTCGCACAAGGATCAGCAAGAACGCCTTTATCTGCCACAATTAATGAAGACCATCCCAAAAACAGCAAAAAGAGAAAAGCAATGGACTTCCTCAGTTGCATACCTGCCCCTCCACCACTGACACCAATCCGTTCAATCATTTCTCCATCTTTAAAAAAAGCATTTCAGCCTCCACGAAGTTTGGGTTTACAGTGTAGCAAGACATCAAAAGAACCAAATCAGAATATTGGTCATGTCACTCCCTGTAGAAAACTGAGACAGACTGTCCATCTTCCTGAGAATGACCTGGTTGCTGATGAAGAACTTGCAATGATTAATACACAAGCACTCATGAATAATTTACCAGAAGAAAAGATTATTGATTATGTAAATGAAAGCAGCAGTACAATAGCTACTAATTTATCTGATGATCTTTCACCCAAAAATAGTTCCAGGTCCACTGGGGAAAAGGAACCTGAGGACTTGTTACCAGCCTGCAGAATGCTGCAAAGACAAAAACCCCGAAAATGCTACTAAATGCACATGTACAGTGTTGTATATATTTCAAATTCAAATTATTTTTACACTTTGTACATTAAATCCTGATTGTATTTAATAAAGCTATACTACAAAAACAAAGACTCATGGAATGACATTTCATATGCAAAATAATTTGGAGTTGAGTAGTTATACATTTCTCACACAACCATGTATTGTACAACAGCATCTGTGTGGCTGATGGTTTGATGACATTTTATAGACCATTGCTTTGATTCTAATGTATTCTTAAACTACAGCAGGATCTTTGTTTCAGTCTAAAGCAATCAGTTTTGTTACCCTCTGTAGTATTAGAATAGTTGTTCAGCTGTCAGAAGTAGCACAGGGCAAAATAAACAATTCGCTAAGTTTATTGTTACCAAACATAACACTTTAATTCTGTAATTCTGCCATAGTTCTTGTACTTTTCCCCTCCAACTTTCCATACAGCGCTAAAAGAGTTTTAGAGAACAGCTATGATTATTTCATTCATAGTAAAATGCCATACAAAGGTATTAATGACAGACCCTTGGTCAGTGTTTCTGAGCTACTCCTTCTTAAAGAAGCACTTGAGGCCACAGCCTCATGAAAGATAATCAGATCTGGTTTTGATTTCATCATGAGATCTTGCTGCTGGGAGTGAGTTAGTACTTGAATTCATTACTTTGTTCTCATTAATTCCAACAGGTGAAGCGTCTCAGAATTGGAGTTTCTCCACTGGAGAGAGAAACAGTCCTGCCCGGCCCCCCCCCCCCCCCGCCGCTTCCCACCAGGCATGGGTCAAAGGAGGGAGGATGCTTCACAACCGAGACCGCCAGCTTCCCACCTGGCAGCCTCTCAGGGTCCTGTGCTGTTCACTGGGCTCAAGTGCTGACCTGGGGGTGGCTCCTGTCACCAAGCTGGACATTGTAGCAGGACTGGAGAACTGTACTGGGCTGACACAAGCTTGCCGATAGTTCTGTAAACCCTTGTGCAATACTGCAGAGCCAGGTTCCCTATGCCCCTTAGTTCACAATTATTTACAATGATGATACTGCTTCTTTAAATGCAGCTTGAGTAGAAAACGCAATTCATCTCGTACATCTACCGTGTCCTAAAGACAGCTTGGCTTTTGCCCAGAAGCAGTGTATTACTTTCTCTCTCTTACGCTTCTGTCTGCTAAATTGCTAGACGAAGAGTAGCTGCACCTGTATTTCTTAACGTCCAACGTGAGCTGTCATTTCCTACTGCAAAATAACTCACTACTGCCCTGTTCTATAAGCACTGCCTAATAATCAACACCTACTTCAAGTGCCATCACAAATGCTGAGTTTTAAAAATGTTTGATGAGGCTTCTTGATAAGGACACACTTAGCAGGATTTAACAATATAGATAAAAACCACTGCAGGAGAGCTTCTTTTCTCACTCATCGATCAGTCAGCAGCTTCTTGGCACTCGGTGGTGGAAGGAGTTGATTTCACCCCTTACAAGAACATTTTTTTTTTCCTCCTTTCTTAAGTCATTATTTTGTACTTCTGAGTTAGTTTGGGTATTTGGTAGCCTTGTGCTTCAGCTGTTCAGAGCTGCTCCTGTAGCCCTGTTCCTACTTAGGAGTTAACAAGCACTAGCCTAACACTAATGTTGCCTTTTAGGAGCCTCCGCATAGGGACTTGTCTCAGGATGGGTTGAATTCCTATGTCTTGGCAAGATCAACAGCTGGGTTTGGTGCGTTAAAGTGTTTCACCTCCAGGCTGGAGAAGCTGTTTGGCTGCGATAGAGCTGAGGCAAGACCAGCATGAACCCAGACAGCAGAAGCGTAGGTAGGGAACAGCATCCAATCTTGCTACAATCTGTAACCGCTACCTTTTCCACCATTCCCTTTGCCTCTCTTAAAGCTAGCAGTAATGCTCCAGGCAAGATGGAGTGGGAAGATACAAAAGGTTATACAGCCAGATATAAAGTATAGAAATGGCAACTGCGTGGAGAAGCAATTGGCCACACAGCCTGTAAGAAAGAAAGAATGTAGGAATATTTATTGTTATCTATTAGCGACAGAGCGCGATGCATTAAAACACCCAAAAAGCGTGTGGCACAGCCAGTAAATTTCACCGTAAGCTTGAATGGGTTTTCAGGGAGGAAGAGGGATGAGAGGGAGTACAGTTTGTACTGAGGACAGTGCTCTTAGATCGGTCACGTAGAGCTAGAGATCGTAATCCAGTGACATTTAAAGACTTGTAAGAAATAAAAGTAATTTAGAAATGTAGAAAAATACAAGAATAAAAAACAGTTTAGGAAAAAAATGTAAAACTAGAGACTTTTATACCCTGGTAATTAAAACACAGTGAAGAATCCACCTCTTCAGTTAAATAGCCTGTTGTTTGTAGGTGCCACGTGAGGTCGTCTTCTGTTTGGGAAGGCCGAAGGGGGGTGGGAATGGGCACCCGTGCTGTAAGCTGCATTTGGTCCACTGGAGCTTCTCTCATCTCTGCTCGGTTTTTCAGAGCGAAGAACACTGTGGAAGGTAACATTGTGCTCGTACTCGTCCTTCATCCGTTGTATCTTTTGTTGAGGGACATGATGGATATTTCTTCTGTAGAGTCAACATTAACAGAAAATACAAGTATTTAGCTGCCTGTGAGGCTATCTTAAGCTTGCTAAGGTTCTTGATATGTTCAGGATAACGGTTCATGTCCCCACTGACCTATTTCTAGCCCTTTTTTGCCAAATTGTTCTTCACTTCCACCTACTTCTTAAAAATATTTTTGTGACTGCTGAAAAATGTAATGCAAGTATTTTTGTGGGCAGCCAGGACATAAGAAGTTAGATAAATGCTTTGAAGTGTAGGCCAGGTAAGAAAGAGCTATGTAGAAGACCTGTGTATTGTTTTATATGGGTTTTAGTGCTAACGGCTTGTTAGCCTCAGGGCGAGCTTTTATAGATCTGGAGAAACATGGGCAAGGGCTGTAGGCAGCCCAGACACTGACTCATAATCAACAAGTAGAGAGGCCAAAAAACTGCTGTTGCTTTGAGTGCAAGTCGGGGGAAAAAAATCATACCTGATGTGGCTCATGCTCCAGGGCAGATTTGTAAATGATGACGAGTCTGAGAAGGGGGTGGAACAGGATGCTCGGACATGCAGGGCTTTCTGGATAGACCAGAAACGGCTGCAGTCTCTTGACACATTAGAGGGAATTGTGTTTCCAAAGACCACCAGGGATTTCTGCTTGTCTGCGAGTTTGCAAACTCTGAGTCTCTTTGGTTTTGCCATTTAGCTCTATTAGGCACAATTAATCATCTAGAATCTAAGTTTGTCCTGCATCCATATTTGCAAAGCCTTGTGGTGTGCAAATCCTGCACCGCTCAACGTGGTTCTTCCCTGGTGGAATTCAGGTGCGCGTACCGCAGCAGGCTGCCGGCTGCAGCATCCCACCGGTGCAGCTGGCGCGGGGCCCTCCAGCAGCCCGTGCCCTGCGCGCGCAGCCCGCGCCTGGGACCGGCTGCCGGTAAGGACACAACGTGGAACCAGACTGGCAGCAACTTTCAGCTGTCACTGAACCATTTGCCAAAGAGCGGCTCCAAACTGAGCGTATTTGAATTAGCTGTACAGTGCTACCGTAAAAAAGGCGACTTGTTTCAAATGATTAATAAAACAAAATACAAGTTACTGAGTAGCTCAGCCTGCAATGACTGATTACTAGCAAAATCTGCCTCTGCAGTGATGCCCTGCAAATGGCTCCCAGCCGGTGCTGGTGAAGCAAGAGCTGACACGTGCGGCCAACTCCTGAGGCTGCTGGTGTCCTCGCCGGCCTTCAGCCCCAAGCCCTGGCCACCATCGTCCGTGTCCTGCCTCACCCTGGAGCCGCCAGCGCTCCGGGCCACGGCCCTCTGCCATTTGTCTCTGTCACACAGAAAAAGGAGCAGTGCTAATTTTTGACTAGAGTTCCTAGCTGGTACAAAACAAATAAATCGGGCGGAATGAAGTGCCCGTGCCCTGTTTGCTTGTGATAGCGAAGTTAGCACGTGTTAGCTTTTGGATCTAGTTGATGGGAGTACACTTGCCACTGTAATGTGGTTTACAGCTGGTTGGTTAAAGGCTAGAAAATTAGCCTGCGTGGAGTTTTTTAGTGATATAATCATTAACCCTGCATCCACTAGCCAAACTAACGTACTCAGAGCCATGTTTGGCTGCTTCTACATCCTACCACATAACGCAGCGTTGATACATTCATTGTATCCCTTTTGCATGTGCATGCTAAGCTCTTCAGAAAGATCCTCTAGCACCCCATTTCTTGACCACGCTTAATGTAGCACCCCACCATTGCAAGACAATGTTTGGTATGGTTAGCTTTTTTTAAGAACGGATCTCTTAATATTGTCTGTAGTGCTTGTGTTTTGTGCCCAAATAGAGAGAGTGCTGCTCAAAATACAGAAGGAAAATCAGGTCCTGAGTCACAGAAATTTTCCACGACGATCCTTCTGTTGTCCTTTACTAGGTTACCTTTTAGGGTATATGAAGAGGAAGCCTGCTGACCTTTCTCAGAGCACACCAATAAAATGAGAAGCTGTCTGCTATATCAAAGAGAAAAAGATGTACCTCGTCAGTTCTTGAACGTTGAACTTCCAGGGTGTATCTGGTTCTTGGAATATAACTTCATATCTATTTTCACGTGCCTGAAGAAGTACACAGAAGTTTTAGACATATGGCTGCTGAGCTCAGGAGTAGCCAATCTGCCAGACCCCCTGAGATTTTACTTGGTTAAGAGATGTAGCGTATGTACTAGGAGCCAGAAAGAGGAAGATAACCATGACTCTCATCAAGGTGCTGGTCTGAGTCCCAGCTGGTTCATTTCTTTCTCCATCAAAGGATTTGGGTCTCCCAGAAAAACTTGCCTCAGCATTGCCCCCCGTCCCCCACGGCAACGGCATCCTGGCACTTGAACTCTCTGGAAGTCACAGATGGCTCAAGAACCACAAGTTGGCCACGCCAATCTATTGCTTCCAGGAGTGTGAGATCAACATCTATCAGTCATGCTATTTCCAGCCACTAAAAGTCTACAAGCCTCAATTTTTTCAAGGTAAAACAACATATTTGCTTGTATACACACACACACACACGTGTATATATTTAATACAGTTATTGATTGCTTTGGGGTTTTGATTTGGGGGAAAGGCAGCAGGGAAATTGTTGGCTTTTTTGCATCTTGGCCACCTCTGGCCGTGGTCTCACACTTGCTTCAGAGTCACCCACAAGCATTCACAGCTTCTGCTACCAGAGTGCCACGTCCAGGCTTTCCAGCACCACTATTCATTCAGGCCTCTCTGTGCTCCCATATAAGCAATACTTAGACCCAAACTTCTTAACTAAGACCATAACCCAAGAACAGAAGCGTGAGTATAACGTTAGCAGACAGGCCACATTATAAAACCTGTACTAAAAATATTGCCATCTCTGCCAGAACTCCTGTCAAGAGATACCAATGCATCTTCAAAGACTCTGTATGGTGTATTCTTCACAAGTCATGAACTAAAATTGTAAGTCATACCTTGCTATATTTCTCAACAAATAGTTTGGGAACTGTTCAATTCGTGTCACTGCTGGGGAAGGGGATGACATCCTGGTCATCAAGAAGTTACAGGGCAAGTTCAAAGACAGTTAATCTTTTCAAGTAATTTTGCCTTCACTGAGCTATATAGCTGACTAGATAAAACAACTACACTGGCACCTCTTCCCCTACTTCATCACAATAGGAATCCTTAACTATAATTAGAGAACTAAGGGAAAATGGAAGCAATTCTTTTGAGCCATGTTAAGAACCATTTCAGTTAGATCACCTCTTAAATGTCATAGCTGAGTATATAAAAGCAATAAAGCCGAGCTTTCCCT